AAAAAAAAAAAAAAAGGGGAATAAACCCAACAATACGCGCCACCGCCCACTGCGCCCCTTCGGGTATCACACCCCACTTTTGGCAAACCGCAAATGAGGGCGGAGGAAAGCAGGCAGTGAGTTCATTGCCAAAATAAAAACAAAAACAAAACAAAAACACAGTCATTGATTCTATATGAGATTATTTTTCACTAAATCCCCCCCTTTTTTTTCGGTTATTACTACACATGGGAGCGACGAGTGAGGGACAGCAACGGGGTCCGCTAAAAGGAAATGAGGCCAGCGGAGGAGCGTAGAGGAGCCAAGGCAGGTGGTGAACCCTAACAATGAAGCCGCGGTGCAACCGCACAGCACCTTCAACGCCCAACTAGTTCAGGTTCACATGCCGCCTCTCACCGTCGCTCTTGTCCACTCTCACACGCCCTGGTTGCCTCTAGCCGCCGCTGCCCCTATCGCAGCTCCTGTCAGTCCTACACGCCTGCCCCCCCCCTGCGCCCTTGCCTCCCTTTCCTTCACTAATTCTCTGTGTGCGTGTGGCTGTGGCTTCCACCCCCACGCGACGCAGCGTCACAAGTATCGTATCATCCCATCAAACAATTTCTTATTATTATTATTTTTTCTTCTTCTGCCCCTGGCGTCCCTTTGTTCACTCCTTGCCATCAGCGGCAATGCAACCCAGGTGCCCACCTGTAAAGTGGCGAGCCGAAGGCAGACAGGCAGAAACGAGATAAATAAAAAACGAGCTTCCCTCCACGCGACAAAGTAGTTTGAGATGGGACACAACGCCTCGCCAGCTCCAAGGGAAAAAACAACAACATTTATGTCGTTAATTTATATGCCGGGGAAAATTCGCCATAATACACTTCTAAGAGAAGAGATCCTCAAAGGGATCCTTCTTTTTCGCTGGATTCGGCTCAAACGAGGGACGTGGTGGAAAACCTCCCTTTGTAACGTCCATTGTGGCCTGCTGAACAACAGGCTGCTGCTGCTGCTGCTGAATCGGCGGTGCTTGAGGCCCAGAGGACGCGTTGCCTTCCCACGGAGAAGAGAACTGCTGGGACGGGTATTGTTGATGCGGTTGCTGCGGCATTGCCAACGGTGCCGCTGTTACCAGCTGAGGTCCAGTGTACACGTCCGCAACACCGTACCCCGCAACCGGTGCCGTTGTCGGTACCCCAGATCCCCAGCCAATGTCCATCACGCCAAATGAATTTCGTGTCTGTGGCGGTAGCTGCTGCTGCTGCTGCTGCTGGGGGAGCTGCTGCGACGCCGGTGCGCTGTGGAAAAGTGTATCCTGCCAATTCTTTTCATCATGCACAACGTCTGGCGACGTTGTTGGCTGAGAAGCCGCGGCAGGGAAACTGTAGGATGTGGGCTGAGGTGCAGGAGCCGGGGCGAACAAGTCCTCAAAAAAATTCTGTTTATCCTCCTTTGGTGGTTCCTCCTTTTGCTGTTGAGGCTGCTCTGCCCCCTGTCCTTTGTAACCCTCCTCACGCGTCTCTTGTGGTTGGCTACCCCTGACCTTCTTTGCTTTGGCGACCTTCGCCGCTCTCCAGACCTCCTTTTGCTCTTGGATGAGCGTTTTACAGTACCTCCGCATCTCAGGGTCTGCGCTGTCAACGTCTATACCTAGTGCCGCGAGCGCTTCCGGGTCCAACTCAAACTCTCCTTCATCGCCCATCGGGGAGCCTAGCTCCAGTTCCTCGTCAGTTTGCGTTCGATCTGTCATGCCTGTATCTGCAGCACTGGCGACGTTAGCGGTAGGCGGGGGGCCACCATGTACTCGCACAGGCGGTGCTTTGGGTGGTGCCACGCGATTCACCACTTTGATGTCCTGCTGCTCCCACCCGTCAGGCCACTCCGTCACAGTGAAGAAGAATGTGCCAATGTGTTTACTGATGTCCTCGTCAAAGCGCAGGAAGTTGGTGAGGGCAAATATATCCCACCGCTTCTCTGGATCCGGCTCCAGCAGGTGCGTTAGAACCACGCGGAGAGAGCCGGTATACCACATCTCCGTCCCTGCAGGGAATCGTAGCTTGAGGCGGCCTGTCAGCCCCATATTTGTCTCCCCAAAGGGCAGGCGCAGATACATCATATAGTATAGCAGCACCCCGATGGACCAAAGGTCCACGCGTTCATCAATGCGTTTGCCGCTGCCTGGGTCTGCCATCTCGGGCGCGCGAAACCCACCCGACGTGTTTCGCTCAATATCCTCCACCGCCATCACCACCTCCTCACGGTTGGCGCAATGATACGCCTCTGTCATGACGCTTCTAAAGTTGCATAGACGGTAGGACGCGGCCCCAATGGAGCCGGAGTGAATCAAAATATTCTCCGGGGTAATGTTACGATGTGCAATAGGTGGTTGCCGCGAGTGCAGGTATCCCACGACGCTGGTGACGGCCAAAAGGACCTGCACAATCTCTCCCTCAGGCACCCGTGTGTCTGTGCAAAGCCGGCGGTATAAGTCGCTGCTGCAGTACTCCATTGCAACGGTGACGCCCAGCTTCCCATCACTGCGGGTGATCTCCGTGTGGAACACCTTCACAATGCCTTTGTCCTTCACCCGCCCCAGAACCTCCAGCTCGCGGTGCGCCAGCAATACCTCGTCCACGTTGAAGAAGGACCGTTTCAACACAAAGTGCCGCGGGAACTCTGACAGGTTCTCCACGTTCTCCACCAAGACGACGTAGGAGTGAGTATCCTTCAAGTTCTTGCGGCCGAAGTCCTTGTAGCTCGTAGTATGCTTGTCCCCACCACCAATCTTTTGCACCACACGAAAGGGACGACCCATCACAATAATCGTCTCTGTGCCATCCTGGTTGTACTTCTCAATCTTGCCCTTGGATGAGAAGCTCTTGTCCTTGGACGACTTGCTGCCGGCGATACGAGACCGATTCAGTTGAAACGTGCTCATCCAGTATTGTATATATATATATATATATCTTATATTATATACGTGTGTGCTTACGCCCTTCCTTTGCGTTGAACCCCTCTCTTCTCTCGCTCTTTGCGGCGCACACACAAATACGCTGCCGTGCCCAAAACAAAAGCAAAAACAACAACGACAATCTCTGTATGTACAGTTATATGTTCTCTTACACAATCTGCGTGCTGTGCTAATGTGCCCCAATTCCCCTTGGTGCCGAGGCCCTCGTAGTTCCAGAGCAATAGAAAAGGAGGAATAAAACATTAATAATAATAACGGCACCGTCATCACAAAAACAAAAACAAAAACAAAAAGCGGCGGTGATGCATCACTGCTGCCTGCACACTAGCCGCACCACGGCGAATCTGCTGCATCCCGGCAGAGGGAGCAGAGAACCCATAAACCCATAAACACACACGCGGACACGCAATCAGATTACATACGGAGAGAAAAAAATTTTTTTTTAAAAAATAATCATAATAACCATACTGTATGTATCATGCCTAAAAAAAGGATAAGGAAAAAAAACAACAACAACGGTCACTTTTCATTTGCGCATTTGCGTAAAACAAATGAGGACCGCATCGATATGGCCAGTCCGTAAACAATTATTTGCGTGACTGTCGCACGTAATATATGTGCTCAAATAATGGGGTTCAACCAAAGCCTTCTACACCAAACTAAGGAGGATCTCTTCCCTCCCCACTTATTTCCTTCACTCCTACATTATTAGCGTGCTCCGGTAGTCGAACATAGCCGGCGACAAGTTAAACATGTGAACCTGACGCCAGAGTTGTACGAGCAGCCAGCGTCTGCCGGTACCACCGCTGTCAATCACTAGCCTGCGTGCGATGGTGACGCCACCGGAAAGCATAGCCCCCGATCCCTTCTCCTTCAGACCATACGTGTCACCCACTCTTCCTCCTCCTGCTTCCTCATCCTCGCGTTCATGCGCTTGTATTTCATCCAACACCGCTGCGGCGTTCTGCAGCACAGCCCACGCAAATTGACACCCTTCAGGATCCCGGCATATCCGCCTGGAGACTGGCAGTGACCCAGCGGGGCTCATCATCATGGGGCCGCGTAAATCCTCCCCACCAAAATCCACTGTCGGATGTGACACGGATGCAGGTCTCTCTTGTTCGTTGTTCAGCCCAACGCGGACGGCAGAAACAATACGATAAAGCTTGTTGAACTCCTTGGAGTTCAACAACTGACGCGCAAAGTCATGCAGCGAGGTGACTGTGGAAGACACACCCGCAGCGCCGGAGGCAACTGTTGTGGGAGGCTCCATACCCCCCCGCTCACCCTTCGGAATTGTGAAGGGGTTACTGAACGACATGGAGTCTTCCAAGATGACCTCTTCTGCGTTGATTGCGCTCTCCGCCTCCGCCCCAAATTCCTCCTGCCATGGCCCGGCCGCCGTGGAAGTCAGCCCCGCGAGAGCACGGAGGCTGTCCCCCACAGCCAGCTTCCACAAGAGCGGAACGAGCTCCATCCCATCTAGTTCCCCAACGCGCCTGGCGGCGGAGCACCAGGAGCCATCTGCGTTCTGCACAGGGCCGATGGTGGATTGAATGAGCGCCAGCAGTACATGTATCATCTTCAGACATGCACGCTGCGGCTCCGTACCTAAGCGCAGCACCCGGCGCGAACTCAGGTGGGCCAGGCTACTCACCAACTCCAACATCACATGTTCATTGAGAACATGCCGCCGCAGGCACACATTTGGTATCAGGGTGGCATGCGTGAAGACGACCTGCAGCGTGTGCAGAACCTCCACCGCTGATCTGTACAGCGGCCGGAACCAGCGCGGGGAGCTGGGGGAGAGGACATAGCACATGGCCAACACAAGCAGGTTCCCATAGCTGTAAAGGCAAAGTGTATCCGAGTCTTTTTCCCCACCAAAAGTGCCTTCTCCATCACTGTCAGCGGTTATGCGAATACTTTGTGGCAGCATCGGCATGGCGACTCGAAGTACGCGCATAAACTTCTCCACCTCCGTCGCTGTCGCACCTGAGGCGTGTGATGGCAGCCGTGTGGCAAGGAGCTTCAGGAACGATGGCCGTCGCAGCAGAATAAGAAGACAAAGAAGTGAGAGCTGCCCCTCACCAAAGCGACTTAATGAGACCTTACTCGATACAAGTATACTGTGGATAAATGCCATGAAGGAATACGGTCGACCCCCAATAATGTCAAGGGCAACCTGGCTTTGCTGCATCACCCAAAGGAGCAAATGCAACACCAATGGTGCACAAGGGATGCTCACCTGCGGGTCTTTCTCCACCGAAGCCCTCAACGGGTTCTCCAGCAAGATTAGCATAGCCTCCACAAGACTCCGGGCATAACTCAACGAGTCCGTCTCACCGTGCCCTAGTTGGTCTGGTAAGTGTATGCTCGATTGCTGTGACGTCGCTGTGTCGCTGTCAGCAGAGAAGTGTGTCTCCGCGCGGTCCAGCACGGCCTTCACAAGGCTGAAAAAAACGTTCGACACACGACTTTCGGATGGGACGGGCAGCTGTGGGTCAGAGCACAAAATAGATGGGCCGCTGTAGATACCCATGGCAAGGATGGCAAGTGCATGCCCCAGCACGGCCGTATGCGCCGCCAAGGAGCGTGGTCTCTTTGAAAAGACGGCAGCGTAGCTGGAGGGCGTCGTGGACTTCTTGGCATAAAACCGCACCGTGTATAACAGTGAGGCACACAGTACTGCTGCCAAGGACTGCTTCTCGCCATCGAACAATTCACTGGCCATCAAGGCACTCGTTGCCTCACGTCGTCGTTTTGAGCAATTTCGTTTTTCCAACTCCCCTGCTGTTGCTGGGCCTACCTCCGCGGCAGGGGCGTAAATGGGCCCAGAGAGCAGCAGCAGAAGGGTGCGTAGAATGATGGCGTGGTAGTCGCTACCCAGTGCAAACGCAGGCTGCGCACGTGACCAGTTGATCTCTGGCGAGACGTTGCTGCTGCTGCTGCCGCCGATCTGGTTGTTGGCCAAACGGTCCTGGACGTCCGCTGGTGTTGCGCCGCGCACGAGGCTGAACAGGAGGGCAGGCGACACGCAGCCTTGGCGGAGGAGCAGCAGTAACTCCGCATTGAAGGCCGCCTCCGAGGACGCGTGCGAGGGCTCTTGCCGCGGTTCCGTGTCGCGGCACGGTACAGCGGCCGTCATGACGCCTGGCATAAACAACAGCTTAAGGTACAACTCCACGAGTTGCGTGCCCGGCGAAGTCTGGGGTGGCGAAGGGCAGAATTCCCCGCGGAAGAAAAAGTGATAGGCAAAATCCGCCGCGTAGGGGCTTTCCGTCCGATTCGCCACATCCATCAATTCGCGCGTGCGTTGCGAGACAATAACGGGAATGCGCCCACCTCTCGCTGTCGCGTCTGCATCCTCGCGGAGCAACGCCGTCAGCTCCTCAATATCCTCAAAACAGTAGGGGAGCGCCCCGCCAATCAACCGCAGGGCGTTCAGCGCGGCGCACGGGTTAAGCGCCCTCCCCTCCCTTCTGCGCAGCGACGGTTGTGGCTGCATATAATTCATCGCCCCCTCCACCTTGACGGTGGCGAGGCCACCGCCAGAGGGGTTCTCACCCACATCCCCGCTGTTGCCAGGGTCCAACTCCGCCGCCGCCTCGCAGCTCAGCGCAATAAGTGCCTCCAACTGTTGCATGGAGGCAATGAGGACCGCAGCCAGCCGGCCCGGGCGGTACATGCGCAGCAATCGTACATCCTCCGCCGTCCAGAATGAGGCAAGCTGCTCGTCGCTTAACCAAGTGCAAAAGAGCGCGCGCCAAAAAAGCTCCAGGTCACCGGCGTCGCCTGAAAGTGGGTGTTCCTTGTAATGCAGCGAAACAATAGCCCGGCGAAAGGCAAGTGGATTGCTGACAGTACCCCCCATCTGTTTTCCACAATGCCCAACAACTGTTCCTCCTCTTTTTATTTTATTGCCACTGCTTGGTTTGTTGCCGCTTGTCACCCCAAGTTGTTCCTGCTAACCTGCCTGTGCCCTCTACAACCCTCCCGCGAAGGAGGACAAAAAAAAAGGGAATAAAAATAAAAAGGCATGAAGTTTGGTGGCGGTCAAATGAGCGTCTCGCATATCAGGCACGCACAGACAGAGGAAAACAAATCACCCACTACGAGGCGCCTTCCAACTGCACCACAGCAACGGATGCCACCTCACACATACAGTGAACATGGCTGCCGCACACTCGCTGCACCACCGGATCTTTCCCCCACGTCACACCCACAAGTTAGCCTAAGAGAATAGTTTAAGGCTGCGCAGGCTCTAGTAAAGGGGATGTATGCACGGCACGTCCTTCCAGTCGCTTGCTTCTTTTACTGGCGCTCGTTGGTTTCTTCATGGTTCACCCTTTTTGACGGCCCCCATTGCCACTCTGCTGCTCCTCCAACTCCCCCCCTCCCCTTGTCGGTTGACGCATTTGCCCGTCCGTGCCCGGGGTGGGGGGATGTGGCAGCACCAATGGAAGAGCGGACGAAGCGCGCGGCAAAACGAGCCAGATGCAAATAAAACAGAAGGAGGGAGGGAGGGAGGGAGGGGTGGGGAAAGAGAAGCAGAGCCCTCGACGGACCTCCGAGAAGCAACAGACATGCGTGGTCGGTGACGGCGTGTGGGAAGCACGGCAGAGAAGCAGACCCTCAAAGGGGGAAGGACAGAGGGTGCCCCACACTGGGGCGAGGATGGACGGCGGCGGCGAGGCCATATATGCCCGCATAGAAAGAAGGAGGGAGAGACAGAGACACATACAGAGAGTGAGAGAAAAAAAGAATGATGTTTATTGTGACTATATATATATATGTTTGTGTGTGTGTCACACCACCACTAGGGCGAATGGGAGAAATAACACTTCCAAGGAGAATAAAACTGTTTGTTTTTTTGTTTTTACATGATGATTTGTTCTTCCCACTGTTCCGTCCGCGTCTTAAAATGCAGAGCGGAATAATAAAACAACAACAACAACGTGAGCGGAAGAGGAAAACACAACACGCCATCTTTGGCAACAGTCACGGTGCCGCCAACGCCTCTTTGCTGATACACATAAACACCTGCTCAATGGAGGGCTGCAAAACGCTGCAGTCTGTGATGCCGACCGGGACTTGTTTTGCCGCAGCGCCTTAAAGACTGAACGCAGGGGTATTCTCTGTTGGCAGAACGCACACAAAACATTGATTGTGTTACTCGCTGAGGACGGCGTCCGGGAGCCAGGTTTACACGAGGCGCTCCACCGTGGGGCAGAAAAAGGCGCCGTGGATGCGGAGGGACATCTCCGCCACGATGGAAACGCAGCCGGCCAGCGCCTCGACCCCGTCCAGGTGGTGCGTTATGAGCAGTCCGGGGCACTTCGTGACGATGGCCCTAATCGACGTCCACACACCTCGACACGCAACCGGGGCCATGCCAACGGTGGGTCCTTCCAACAGCACTAATGGGACTCCCCAAACAAACACCGCCGCAAGGCTCAACCTGCGTTTCCGCTCCCCGCTTAGCGCAGACGCCTTGCAGTCTCGTTTACCGCACAAAAAGAAAAAAAAAGCAAACAAACTGAAGACGCTCGCGGCTGGTAGAATCCGGCCAGAGAATATTGTGCGGTGGACAGAGCGCGAGGTTCTACCGCACCTGCGAGAATTGCCGACGCACGGAACGTCCAAACACAATGCAATCACCTGCATCCGGGCGTGTCTTGACTGTTATCATGTCGATCGTCGTGGGCCTACCCGCGCCATTGCAGCCACGCAGAACGGAGATGCAATTCTCCAGCATCTTCAGGCAGAGGTTGTTGACGGCCAGAAGGTTCCGTCGACCGCGCCCGTATTCCCGACGTAGTCTTTTGATCTGAAGGGCGTACTTCACAGATGCCCCCATCTCCTCGTAGGTGCCATTCGGGTCCCGCCCATCCGCCCCACTGCCAAACACGGCCCCTGCAGCGTCTCCAGGGGTCAATGACAAAAAACAGCGGGTGCTTAGGCGTGCCGCTTTCATGTAGCGTCACCGCCTCGACGTACGCCGTCAGGAGCAGGTATAAAAAAAAGTCTGGCACTGTGATGCCAAGGACAAGACCCATGTTGGGGCCGTCAAAGTCAAAGCAAACGTCTCTCAGCGTCAACCCATCCATGAGCTCGTAACAAAAGAGGATCCCCAACGTGATGGAGAACGACGTTGGTGGGAGAAGGCAGAACACCGTCATAACTGTGGCACCGGCTTGCAGCAGCCCCACAATCCCCATGATTTCCCACATCCGTAGGTCCTTCTCAACCGCGCGACGTCGTGCCAGAAGGGTGACAGGGTAGAGAAGCGACAACACAATCGTAAGCGCAACTAGCGGTGCTGGTACACCCAATCAACTTTGCAGCGGAGGGCCCTACATAACCCATGGGTATCGTCAAGTACGGCGTAACGATGCGCTTCTCACAAACATGCTTGACTTGCTCAAGGTAAAAGTCATACAACACCCACCGGAGCGCGAGAAGCCCAAAAACGATGTACATATCGGCGGTGCTCACCTTGATGCCGCCGGAGTAGTCTCCACAGAAATGGCGGTCCTGGGCACCGCAATCGCCTTCTGATTTATTCGTATCTCAACATCAAAGGCATCCGACGTTAGGGCTTTGGTGCTGATCACCGCGAACACACCGCCATGGGAGATATCGTCCCGCAAACTCCACCACACTGTCAGGGCTTTCCCCGCGTACACTAGGCCGAAGTACAGTGACGCGGATTTTAGCCAACTCAGAAGTGCTGGAGAGACGTTGGCAGCGGGGCCAAGGAACAGGGGGCCCGTCACCACCAGAGCCGAAAAACGATCCACGAAGTCGATACCAGGATCCCGTTACGCCACATCGCCCAGCAGCGGCTGCGTGCGGTGCTTAGAGGCGGCCCAATGCAGCAGCAGGGGATCATTCAGCTCTGGAATCACATTGAGCTCTGCAACGGAGACGACTGCAAAGCAAAAGAAGGGTAGGTCCAGGAAGTTGGCGCATAACCCCCTCACAGGAAGGTGCGCGTCGTCGCCGCCGCTGCAGTCAGAAGTAAATGCCGCTTGACGACATGGCTGCAGTACGGGAAAATGTGGTTTTGCTTTCCGTCCGAACGGAGCACAGAATCATTGTAGCAGAGCCCGGAGCGGTGGTCGAATGGACGGGCGGTGCGGTGCGGTGCGGTCCACAACGCGGGTCTCAGGGCAATGCTGATCCCCAAAGTACCACCAAAGAGGCGGGGTGCTGGCGACACAAATGAGCGACACACATATTTCAAACATGACTCCCTTCCACGCCCGCTTGCGCTCCGTTGCCTCGCAATGACTGGCCGCAAGCAACTGAGTCAGAAAGGGAGGTACCCCACCACGTGCCGCGAGGCCGCTTAGCAGCCAGCGGCTTCTTAGAGACCCGACTGGAAGAAGCAGAGAACGCATTACTGAGTATGAGCGAGAGCGCTAGGGGGTCCTCAATCTCCTCGAGTTCCTCTGCGTGCATGAACACCGAGTGACACCCAACAACGCAGTGCGTGTATGTATTTGTGTGTGTGTACGTGTGTACATACGCAAGTACAACTCACTAAATGGCTATCGTCTCCTTGCAAGTAATTCAGATGCCTGCTTACGCATAAATCAATAGTGCCGTATGTTCGTGTTTGTTGAGTCGAAGCGGCGAGAGCGCAGGGAAAAGAAACAACGTGGCAAAGCGGAGGGATGACGGTGGTGAGAAGCCAAAATACGAAGAAGAAGAATAAGACAAAATGCGTCACTGCAAAAGTACACCCCGCTACCCTCCTTTTGCTGCTGATGTTGGCGTGCGATGCACCCACACAAACACATCGCAAGGAAGAAGGGAAAACCAGGAAGAAAGAAAACACCACGGTGCAACGAGACAGGCTGCAACGGCAGCTAGCACGAATGAAACACACCACACACAGTTTCCTCCAATAAAAGTAGCGGTGATCAGAAACAACGCCCACAAAAGCACCCACTCACAACGTATCTGTCACAGCCCCGGACAGTGCCCTGCTCCACCCTCCTCGTCCCCATCGCTTCACGAAACCTATGAGGCCTGCATCTATGTCTGTGTATCGTGCGACGCGCAAGGGCAGATGTGCCATGCGCATGTATAGACATGAAGCTCTAGTTGCAGTGTGGATGGATCAGTAAGGTGAAGGCAACTACGACGCGGCACCGCTGCCTCGCGGCGGTTGCTTCTGCTGTTGTGGCCAGTGGCCATAGCCGTGCTGCTGCTGCCGCCGCCGCTGCTGGTGGTGCTCGTGGTTGAGCTCTCTCTCCAGCAATGAGCCACCTCCAGGGTGTGAAACGCCGCCGTCTTGCCGCAGCGCCACCTCCGCCGCTTCGAGCTCCGCCACATCCTCCGGCGTCCCGATGTCCAGACGCGTGCCGTGGCGGTTCAGCATATCCCCTTCCCACTGCTTCCCCAACAGAGACCCAAGCAAACTACACCATGTGTGTGACACGAGTGGCAAGGATAAAGAAGGCAGGAGCCGCAGCAACTCCACAAACAGCGAGAGTGGGAAAGAAACGAAGCGGCGCGTCACTTCCTCCACCGCTTCTTCGGTGCCTTGATTTATGCACACCGCATCGCTGCAGCACGCAGAGTCGCCTTCCCCACGCAAGTTCCCCCCCTCCCCAAAGACGAGCGGCTGGCAGACACAAAACGAAAAAAAAAGAAGAAAGAACCACGCAATGAAACAAACCAACAATTCCACTACACACACGCACAGGTTCCCCTTCTAAGAGAGCTCCTCCGTGACACGTTTTATCGCTATTGCTCTTCAACCCTCACCCCACTTCTTCCCCCCTCCGCCCTCCTATTTCCTGCGCTCTAGAACTCCGGTGTGACACTGCCACCACCACTGTTTTCTGTCCCATTGGCACTGTGTTTTTCGGAAGCCGCACGCGACTTGCCAGGGTGCAAGGTTCCTTCTTTCGTTGCCTCGCTAGTTCTCACCTCCGCCGCAGGCGTACTGCGATGATGATGTTTGCCAGCGCCAGCGCCACCACCACTACCACCACCATCAAGCAGCTCCCTCGTAACCGAGTGGTGCAGGATGCGTGCAGGAGGAGTAACAACAGTGCCGGGTAGAGCATACGTCTGCTGCCGCTGCGTGTACATCGCGTGGAAATCCTCCTTCGCAGACACCTCTGTGTGAATAGGCTGCAGTGCGAGGAAGCGGGACTGCAGCGTCTCCCCCGGATGACGGCATTTCTCCGTCACAAAGCGGACGTGCTCGCCGTGGTGGAAGGTGTAACCCTCTTCGCGTGCCAGCAGCCGTGGGGGTCCGTCTGGTCGTCCCACGAGGGTTTGCCACGCGACACGCACATTTGCATTCGTATTAAGAGACAACGGCCTTGACTTGCGCATGTACGTCAGCGGCGCTTCCTCCATCGCGTGACTCCGCTTGCTAAGCAGCTCGATCCACGTCGCGGCACGCACCAGGTACTGCGGTCGATCCTTCGCCATCAAATCCTTTGAGTGACGAAATCTGGCCCATCGCAGAACGCTAGAAATGTCAACATCCCCATAGTTCTGCTGCATCCATGACAGCGCATCGTTCTGCGTGGAGTCCATGGCGGTGAGTGGGCCATGCGTGGACCACACCGACCCCGGCACCTCCTCATGTCTTGCCGTGCTAATTTTACTGTTATTATTCTTCTCATTGCTGCGCAGGACCTCAAGGTGCCGCTGGTACAACTCACGCGCCACTTCCGGTGCCACGGCTGTGGCGTCTTTCACCAGGGATGTCGCATGCATCACCTCCTCGCTGAACCCCACACTCTTACCCTTCGCGAGCGCCTCTCGCATGTGAAGACCGACACGCACATGCACGTCGCACTGCAAGAGGTTCTCATCAACGAGATAGCTATACACCGCCCTCGCCTCCTCGGCACAGTTGTGGTCCAGCAGGTACTCCAGCGCAAGCAGGGCAATCCGGTAGCGCCAAATGGGGTCAAGCTCTGCACGCACGACAACATTCTCGTAGTACCGCCCCCGCATGACGTTGTAGACCCACATCACACGCACACGGTGCTTTGCCTTGATGGCGCAGCGCATCACATTTTGCAGGACCTCACCATCGCGTGCCACGTAGAAGAGCTTTGCATTACCATCCTCAAAAATAGCCACGGCGTCTGCAATAAGTCCTGCTGGAACACAACAGGCGGTTAGTGCACGGTACACCTCGACCGGTGGGATTGTTGTCACACGGCGATACTCCTCACATGCCGCTTTAAGATGACCACGTTGGGCGAGACGCACAATCTTGCGCATCAGCGAAGCCTCGTGAGTGGCAGCGGGGACGGTGCCGTCACGATTAAGTTTCACTGACCGACGAAAGTAGTGATCCTCCTGAAAAAACGGTCCACGCCGCAACCAACGGTAAATGCGTCCACGACAGTCGAGCGTTGCGGCGTTGAGCCCCACGCGGTTTGGGTCCTCGACGGTAATGTTGTCGTGGTCCACCACAGCTGGTTTAGCGAGGCGACCAATGTGCGGATCGTACGAGTGCAGCATGTCATGCGTGACGCGGTGACCATTTCGGGCACTCATCAGCGAGACCGGCGTCACAAGGGCCTTGGGACCGATGCTGATGTCCGGCATGTACCTTTCCAGCTCATGCTTTGGAATCATCGTTACCGTATTGTCCTCCAACACGTGCGTCTTCTCTGTGTAGTAGCCGCTGTTGTAGTTGCCTGGGCCATGCCGGTAGCGGCCGCGGCTCCATAGGACCGCAAGATCGTCTGCCGTGAGGTTCTCGCGGCCAAAGCGGCTCGGCTGCCACGGCACACGGGCGCGTGGGATGTAGCGCAGGATGGAGGTGGCTGCCTCATGACCGATGCCGCGGCCTTTGCTAAAGACGCCCGTCACAGACATGATGCGGGGCCGTCAACAGACACAAACACACACACCCGGCCACCTTACCGGCTGCGCTCCACTGAGACGTGTGCAACACCGGCTATGGGTCTCTGTGAGCTAAATATATATATATATTATACCTCCTTCTCTTTTTTTTTTCTTCTTCTTCAGCTTCTGCGTCTTCACCACACGACACCGCAAACAAGAATTGTGTAAAGACACACATTCGCGGAAGAAATAAGAACAACAGCAGCAGGAGCAGCAAAAAGAAAACAACAACAACAACAACAAACAGACGTAACACAAATCGTTCCGCCACCAACCAAAAACAACAACAACAACAACATCACACGGACATACATACACACTGCGTCCAGAGCCACGTGTACACGGCAGACTCGTCGCCAAAAAAGACACGCCCTCTCTGTGTGGTGGGCCCGTCTGTGCTCGAGGAGGAGGGAGGGAGGGGGTGACAGTGAAGTGAAGTGATCAAACATCGCACACGTGTCGAAGCGTCGTTGGAACCCGCCGTCCTTTCGTAGCCTTCTCGCTAGAACGCCCGCGGCGCAAGGTGTTGGTCTGCCCTCACCCTGCCCACACACACTGAGTTCCTGCGAGGGGCCCTTCCCGTCTTTACGCTTCCTCCTCGCACGTTTCTTTTTTTTTTTTTTCTGCTGCTTCTTTCTTTTAAATTTTTTTAGACTTTCGTCTCCCCTCATACGCCCGCGCCGACAGACACCGCAACAGCCAAACCTTACAAGCAAACACAAAAACAAAAGAAAGAAAGGCACGCCAATTACAACGCACGCACGCCGTGGGATCTATCTAAGTGGGTGTTCTCCCGAGTGAGCCGGTGATGGACATCGGCCCCGTGCTGCTGCCACCCCCAGCGCTGCGACCCCGCCAGCGATGCGACGCCGCGGCCGCCGAGGCGGAGGCAAGCCCTTGCGCCAAGGCCGCCTGCGCCGCCTTCCGCTCCGCCTCTTTCTTCTTCACATCTTCCATCAGCGCCGCGACGTTTTCAATGAGCTTAACATTGTCCTGGTAGAGTCGCTGTCTCTCCTCGTCGCCAGCGCGCAGACGCTCATCCATTTTCTCCACCTCCTTTTCAAGCATGCTGACCGCCCCGGTGATGCTGCTGATGAGCTCCTCTTTCTCCGTTAGTGTCAGCCTCACCGCATCGTGCGACTCCTCCTTCTGCTGCATGGCCAAAACCATCGTGTCCAGTTCCTTCTGCAGCGCTTCGTTGGACGCCTGCTGAGTCGTCAGGGCGCTTTTGGTGGCGTCCAACTGCGTCGTCAAGGACTCCACGTCGCTGGTCAGCCGTGTTACGGTTTCCTGCACCCCCTTGGCCTCCTCTACCCGTGCCTGCAGCGCCAGGCACCGTTCTTGTAACTCCACCAGTTGTTCTTCGAAGCTCCGGGTCGCCTTCAGCCCGTAACGTCGCGCGTTTTCGCTGACCGGATCTCGTCCAAGAACCGCAAGCTGTTCACGCAGGAGCGCCTCCCGTTCCATCCAGTCCCGCTTCTCCGCCAGCAGCGTGGCGTTTATGCGCTGCAGCAGCTCCAACTCCACAGTCTCCACGTCTGTTTCTGCTCGGGCCACCGTGGCAGGTGCGATGTTGGGCCGACACAGAGACGCCTCATGTAGATGCAACTCCGCATCCTGACGCGCCTGCTCCGCCGCGTGTATGCGCAGCTGCGCCGAGTCCAAGTCACGATGCGCCTTGTCAAGGCTAAGCTGCAACGACGCCACCGTCTCTGCGAGTCGCTCCTTCTCAGCATGCATTGCCTGAATCAAGTTGCGGTTCTCCGCCAACGCACGATCACCGGGGAAGATGGCAAACAACAGATCCTGCGTGCATTGCTGCTCCAGCAGCGCACGCTCTACGCGGCGCAACTGCTCTCGAAGCGCCCGTTCATCTTCGTACTGGGCCGTCAGTTTATCCCGCTGTTGTGTTGCGTACGCCTCCATCTGACGAATGCTCGCCTGCTGCTCCGCATTGCGTGCCTCAATCTGGTGATTCTGCTGCACCAGTTGGGCAATAAGGCGGTCCTTATCGGACAACTGCCTCGCCACAATTGCGGCGTCCGCCTCGCGCTGTCGCTCGTGTTCCACACCCACCTGCCGCCAGTGATTTAGTTCCTGCAGTTGCTGGTTGTTGGTTTCCTGCGCGTACCGCAGCTGTGCCTCCAGATCCTCCGTGGTCGCCTTGGCGGCATCAAGTGCATCAACAGTAGCCTCGTATTCTTCGCGCGTCATCATAGTTGCCATGCGCTCCAACGCCTCGTCACGGGAGCGTACGGCATCAGCCTTCTCCTCCTCCATGCGCCACATGCGATCCAGAAGAGTGGTGTGCTGCTTCCGCTCCTCGTGATGGGCCGTGAGAAGCTTTTCGTACTGCGTCTGCGCTCCCTCGAGCTTCACCTGAAGCTGCCGCAGTGCCTGTCGCCCATCGGTGATGTCATCATCATCATCATCATCGCCATCATGTTCATCACCGTCACCAGCCTCTTGGAGGGGTTCCGCACAGACGCGCTGCACCATCCGCCGTCGCCTGGCAGCCAATTGCAAGACCCGCTGAATGGTGTGCTCCTTCAGGGACGCCGTGCGCAGCAGACTTGTGATATTTTGCAGCAAATGCGCCTGGTCGTGTTCACTGCGACTTCCCACCCCCGCCGCTGCGGCGTCCTCAGACTTCTGGGCACCAGCGGACGGTGCAGCGTGCGGCAAGCCAGCAATGGCTGCCTGGAGGTCCACTGCAGAGCGTAAAAGGACACGCTGCGCCTCTTCCCAGCACTTCTGCATCATCTCCGCGTGCTCTGACTGCTGGGCGGAGACGAGATCGACGGTCTGGTTGGCCGCACGTACCCCCAGCTCTGTGCAGAGGCGAACAAGCGAGGTGACAACGGCATCGTTAACCGTACCTGTTGCGGATGCCACCGCTGACGCCGCCTCTGGGCTGCCGCTGTGACGGCAGTGACCACTACTCCCGCTGCCGCCCTCACCCGATCTGCGCTCAAGCCCCAGTATGCGAAGGAGCGCGGCAGCCAGGCCATTGTCTGTTAACGTCAGCTGGGCCTTATGCTTCTGTAGCACGGCACTCATGTGCTCCTCCATATGGGCCTTCAGCCGCAGGTAGCGATCATCCGACGCCAGGAGAAACCGCCCTGCGTCGTCCCCCTCTTCCTCTTCCTCCCGCACCTCTTTGTTTTCTTCCTCTTCGCAGTGATGACGGAACGCACGCCTCTGCAATGAGTCCCATCCGCCACCTTCCTCCTTGCGCTGTTGTTGTTGCTGATGTGACGGCAACTCCTCGGACGGTGTCTCTTCCCGCCTACGCTTGCGATTTACGCGGCGGTGCGGCTGCGCGGCCTCCACGTCGGAGGTGGCATGGCTTCCCCCGTCTTCCGCGGCATTTTCTTCGTCGTCATGTTTGCACAGTCGCCGCTCCAAGTCCTCAGCGCGCTGCGTTGCTGCGTACAGCTGCTGCAGTAGCTCCTGATTGCGCTGCAGCAGCTGCGCCACAGAGTTGACGGAGTAGCGGTCAAGGTTCTCGTCCTCACGCAGGAGCTCCAGAAACTGCCCATCCTCTTCTGTGCCCTCGCTGACACACAAGGTCCTTGTCGCCGAGTCTGCGGAGTTCCCACTGTGTGCGCTGCTGTGACTCGGGCGGTGACTGCCACCTCCACCGCTGCGATTTGCCGCTGCAAGCGGCTCGGGGGCGATGACCGCGTAGTGCGACGGACGTCCCAGCGCGACGCCGGTGAGGCAATCAGTGAGCGGGAGCTGCGGAGTACGCGTGACGTCCGCCTCCACAGACGGGGAGCCCAAGTTGCGCAGCGCCAGCAAGCGGCGCGAGCGATGCGAGCTCCTGGCGAACACACTCATGCCTGTCCGCACACCCCCCTCAACCTCCAGAGGCTCGGCCGGCTGCAGCGTGACATCCAAGAAACTGCTAATACCCTCTTGAGCGCCCACTGCCTCGGCTGCCACTCCTACTGACGGTGCCGCATGCGCCGACACGGCACCGCGACGCTCAAGGAGGGACTGAACCGCCGACGCCACGCGGCCTCGCTGCGTACGGCGACTGTTGGGACGCAACGGCTCCTCGTCCGCGAGGAGTACCTCGGAATCAGACACCGACTCCCCCTCCTCCAGCAACGGTTTCTGTAGCTCCTGCCGCTCCAGCACGCGGCGCTGCCGTTCTACACGTACAAGCAGGGAAGCCACCTGCTGTGTCAGGACCGCGTTGCGGAACACCAGCTGCTCACAGTCCTCGCGAACGCACTTGTCCTCAGCCTCCAGCATTTCCAGCGCGGTGCGTAGTTCCGCCTCGAGGCTCTCTAGTTCCTCGATGCGGCTCTCTGCCTCACGCAGTCGTTCCGCAGCAGAAAATTGCGATGCCGCAATAACGGCCTGCTGCTCCAGCTCTCGAATGGCTGTCTTCCAAAGGCCTTCGTGCTGCAACTCCTCCCCGTTCCAAGTGGGAGCAGGATGCATAACCTCCGCCGACTGGCTATGCGCCGAGTGAAAGGTTTGTTGCCTCCAGCTCGAGCTGTGTGTAACGTCCTCGGCTGCTACTTCTGCTGACACCGCCGACACGGAGGGGTTTTGCAGCAGGGCATGAACGCCTTCATGTATATGACCCAAGTCCAGCAAGCTCGTCCCCTGCTGCTGCTGCGGCAGCAAAGACCCAGCACCCAACGCCGTCTCCATTTCTGCCTTTAAACGCTGCAATTCCACTTTCATGGTTTGACACTCCTGCTCCAGCGCATCACGCTCCTGCAAAAGTCGTCGGTGCTCCTCGACGGAGACCGTTGTCGCACGCAGGAGCTGAACTTCTTGACGATACGTGGCATTCTCCTTCACCACCCTTGACAACAGCGCGGTCAACTCCTTCAGCTGCGCCCCCATAGATGCTTGTTGCTGCTGCTGCAACTTCAATGTGCCACGGGTCTGAAGAAGCTCCGCGCTGAGTGGGGAGTGAGCCGGGTCGCTTTCTGGAAGGGCGGTCCCACCTGTGCACCGACTGCCACTTTGTGCTGTACGAAACGCCTCAGATGTCGCACCCCCCAGAGACGACAGGCGCTGCTGTTGCTCTTGTTCATCCGTTAGCCGAGTCTCCTCCGTTTCTGTGGGTCTCCGCGTGCTGTCATCACCCTTCTCGTGCGAACTTGTGTCGACCTCTAGCGCAAAAGAACGCTGTGCCACGGACGGAGGCGAGAACGCGTGCGTGTCATCGGCGGTTTGCCCTCCCAGTGATTCAATGACGGCAACCGCCTCGAAGAGCTGCTCCTGCAGCCCTGCAACCTGCGCGTTCATCTCCGACACCGTACGGGCGTGCGACTGCGACATCTCCGCCAGTGCTGCAGCGACAAGGGACGAGGATTCCACTAGAGCCTCACCGAGCAGCTTCCCGCGCACACTGCTGCGGTACCGCTGCAGCGCCAACTCCACAGCGTCCCCCGTCGCCTCCATGTCTCCCCCCTACACTCGTCATCGCCCCGCCGACCGCTCTCCGTCCCACGTGCGCGATGTTCTACGCGGTATGTATGTGCGTGTGCCTGTCTTCTCCCACAGAGATACGCCTTCCCTCTTCCTTCGTTTGCTGCTGCTGCTGCTTTCTCCTCCCCACGCCAAGGCAGTGAAAGACCAGCAGCATGGCGAACACACAGAGAAAGATATAAAGGCAGAAAGAAAAAATGATTGAACATAGGCTGAAGCGCCAAAAGGCTCCTCCCTCCAGCTGCTTCGCCCTGGCTCTCACGTGGTCTACACAAAAACAAGTATGCACTATACGCGCGTGGGTCCACGCACCACCATACTGTACGATTCACAAATTAGCAAAAACCCGGCTGACGACACTCGTCGGAGCCCCACGTGACAATGCCACACTCCACCGGCACAAACACCAGCAATAAACATTCATAACTAACGCCGCAGAACCACACCCACCCACCCACACACACACACGTCGCTATTCCCTTTTTTCTACAACTCCACCCTTTCTATCCATGCATATAGTTATCTATTTATGCAGTCGTGCTGCCTTCCTTCGCCTTGCCACCAACTCGTGTTCCTCGCCGCTCCTCCATCCGAGAGGCGAGTAAGCAGAAACATCCACCCGCGCAGTCTGTCACGCGTCAACGGCCACACTTCGGTCATTCCTTTCTTGCTTTGTTCCCCCTCATTATTATTATTATTATTATTATTTTTTGTACTGTTTGTGCTCGCTCCTTCTTGTTCCGTCCAGACACAACTATTATGCACTCTCTTTTTGGTAATGAGGATTTTAATATGTTTATCACATATATATATATATAAACTTTTTCTTCTTCTTCAACGATCCCCATAACAGCTGCAGCCCTCAAACTCATACATCCACACAAACACACACGCCTGTATACATGTGGTTTATCACTGCTCAAGAAGATACATGAAACAGTAGTGCTGCTTGCAGAGGAAGTAGGCAAACTGAAACGCGAGAATCGGTCCTAAAAGCGGAATGCGGTTTACGCGGCCCACAACGAAGTGTCTGTACACAAACTGCTGCAGCAGTGCTGGGAAAAAGGGGTCCCGCAGGAAGGAGAACGCCATGTTGCGAAACACCTGCTGCAAACGAAGACTGTCGCGCGAGAGAGTGGGGGTGATCTCGGCCACACCCCCCGTCGGCGGCCGCGGCAGCGATGGCAGGAAGGGCTCTGCTGGGTCAGCACTGCCGTTGCCGTTGGTATCCGCGTGGCTAACACGGGGGGATGCCGGCATCGTCGCCACACGAGGAGACCTCACCGTCCTTCGCCTCGGTACAAGCCTCGGTGTTGTTGATGTACACCACCGGCACACGGTGGCGCCGGATGTACCGCGAAAGCAGGGCAAGCGCGGCGTCCAGGCCAAAGAACGACAGCCCTACTCCCCAGCTGGAGAGCAGCGACCTGGACACCCCGTCATTCACTGCCGCCTGTACCAGGAGCAGCTCGTCGCGGTAGTCCGCGTCCTTCTGCTTGTCGCGCCCGTCGCCATGCGCCTTCGATGGGAAGGGTAGTGCAGCAATGCCCGCCGCGCCAGCTGGAAACACGCGCTTAGCGCAGAACAACAACAGCAACGGCCGAAGCACCAGAACAAGGTCCACCAAAAGCCCCAGTAAGTCAATCGCCGTACACGGAAAGCCTTCACTGGCTCCCGCAACCAGCTCTTTTTCGCCGGCCTCCGCTGCGGTCCGGTGATGCATCCGTCGTACCGCAACACGAGGAATGACGAGTCGTGTGTCTGCGTGTTCAGGCGTGCTTGCCTGCATCGGCGCCAATGGGACATGACCGCAGAATGTAGCATCTAACTTCTCCATCACCGCCGAGGATGCCTGCTTGACGTGTTCCGGAAGCATGAGGAATTGCTGCAATATCAGTCGCAGCCGCCGGCGCACAGCGGGCCATATCCACGGCACAATGAACAGCTGCTGGTGCACAAACACATTAAGCATGCACTTAAATGCTTCAAGAACCAACAACACATTCCACGCCGTCCCATGACCGCAGAAGCGGCGCAGTCCCAGCTCCAGTAGACACTCAACCTCCGACACTGTCCTGAGAATGACACTGGCTTGCTCGGTGCGTCCCACGCGTCGACCTGCCGTCGAGAGGATCACCCTATTCGTGAGTGAGTGAAGCTTGATCAGCGTCCACGAGAGCTCAGCGGTGACAAGGTTGCGTGGGTCGGTGGCAATCCTGGCAGCTATCTGTGTGAACCGCTCCAGACTCAGCGCATTCTCCTTGTTCTCGCGAACCCACGAGACGTACTGCTGAAACAAAGTTGACGCCATTTCCAAATTCCCTCTTCTCCCCCTCTTTTTGTTTTTAATTTTCGTTTAATATTTTAAGTTGTTTGTGCGGATTTTGCTCGCGAGTAGACCCTGCAGGTTTCCCGCCAGCCACGCTAGACACACAGAGAGACAGAGCAAGCCTCCTGGCACCGTCCAGAAGAGGAGGCAAAGAATATGGGAGGAACACCAGACGACATGCATGCATGCATAGAGAGAGAGAGAGAGAGACGCAGGCACGCCTGTGAAAGAGCATGAGGAAGCAACGAACAGCACCAAAAAAAAAAAAAACAACAACAACAACCCACATGCGATGTAAGGCGAGAAAACTAACAGCTGGCCCCCCGCACCGCACCACACATTGTGGAGTTTGCAGTACATCGCGATCGCCGCCCATACGCATCGCCGTCTCCACACACAACCACAGCGGAGTGACTGTTGGCCTTGCTCCCCATGCCTGTTTGCCGGATGGTGTGCACAGAGGCCGCTGTCATGCTGAGGCCCAAGCCTGATGTCATTACGACCCCGGCGAGCAGCAGCCCGTACTCGCGTGGGGGAAATAAGTGCTGCGTGAAGTGTGAAGGGTCAATAAGCGGCGTCACACCAATCCAGATGACATAGTACCCGTAAACGACTGTGGTGATCACTAAGAGTGCCTTGGCGATTGTTCGGTCAAACAACATCGCACGACTGTCACTAATATATATATATATATATATATACACACACACACGTGCTATCTTTTTCCGCGGTGGCCATAGACGAGCAAAAAATAAAACGGGGCAAAAACAGGGGGCCATTGAGGAAAGACGTGACCACTTCCCAACACCCACTTCCATACATAGAGAATGAAAGTAAATCAACCAACCAACTCCCTTCCGTGTTATGCACGTATATTGCCTCTTTTGTTTTTAGTTTTCCTCGACTTCCTCTCACTTCTCGCGGTTCATCCCTTCACCCCGGGTTTATTCTCTTCAGTTGCTTAAAGGCATATTATCACACACGCACACATTCTGCCCGGGAACGGGCGGCAGTCGTTCGAAAAAGATGTACTGTTTGCCGTCGCCCTCCGACAGCTGCAGCCTTCTCACCACCTCGTCGTACGCCCGCTGCGCAGCCCTCAGATAGGCGCCGTCGTCGATGGGGTTCTGGAAGAGTGTCGGCACCGGCACAATGAGCGGAGACACGTCATCGCCCTCCGACATCTCCCCTCCACACATCTGCCGTTGTTGTTGTTGTTGTTGTTGCAGGCGTTTGCGGTACTCCTCCACGGCGTACGGATGGGCCTTGCGGGTCTCGCTGGCGTCTCCGTCCTCCTCTGCGGCGGGACGGAGAAGACCGCGCAGCGCCTCCTCTGCCTCCCTCACCGTGAAGGAGGCCAGGAAAAGCAGCTCAGACTCATGCACCTGAGAGGCAACTGCCGCCTCCGGCTTGGGATCTTGCCGCACAAACGTACGCACAACGAACTGGCGCAATTCCTCCGCGTCCATTTCCCACTCATTGGCGGTGAAGTGCACGACGACAGAGCCGCCATCGTTCGGCGCCTGTTCCGAGACGGCGCTCACCTGCTGGACATGCACCACCACACCCGACCGCACCTCGCAGAGGGCAAGGAAGGCCGGCGGAAAGGCCTCCCCCCTGTCGTCTCCCCCAACCCTCGCCCCATCTATGCAACCGGCGGCACGCAGCGCAGCCCATGACACAAGTGGTGTCTTTGCAACCATAATGACCCGAGAGAACCGCACCTCCTCACTGCTGTTGTTATCATGATGGCTCTTATCGGCATCCTCCCTCACCGTGGGCGTCGTGGCAGGATCCTGCGAAGACGACGAGACCCCAAACGCACGCGCCAGTGTGCGGGGCACCACCACCACCTTAGCCTTGACACGCTGGCGGTTGCTCATCTCAACCGATGGGGCGGTGCTATTGCCCACGGCTTGTAGTTCCCGACGACGATGATGACAGGGTAAAAGTAAACTACGCCGCAACACAAAAGTGGCATCCCATACGGCGGCAATGCGACACATGTTCTGTGGCATCTCACTGCTGCCGTAGGCGGGCAGCAGGAAAGGGGTCACACCACCAAAGGCTCCGGTGGATTTAAGCACCTGCCGTACCAACTCCAAAGAGTGCACCAGCTGTCCGGGCCTAGCATCAAGTTGTCGCATGAGTGTCACTGTGTCAAGCGCGACTCCGTTAATGCCATACTTGCGTTCAATCATCGTACTTAACGTTTCTTCAGGATGTATGGCGGCTTCCTGTGCAAAGAGGCGTTTGGCCTCCTCAAAAGCAATGCGGGCTTTCTCCTGAGCAGCCTGCGAAAGTGGATCATCCCCAACGTCTGCGGTACGTGCATGTAGCTGCTCTGCGAGGGACGCCTCCATGTCCTTGACAAACTTCATCACCCGGCGTTTCTGTAGCAGGCTCACATGCGTAGCGGCAAACACCTGCGCGCGCGTCAGTGGGACGCTTTGCAGTCGCACCGTGCCCTCGCTCGAGCAGACCATAAAAAAAAAGCCACTAAAACACTGAAACTCCATGTGACGCGCCATGTCAGAGGAAATAAGCTGCTGCGCCGTTTCCCCGTTGGCGAGGTAATGTGTTGGAAGCAGATCCAGCAGGTAGCGATGCCGCTCGCGCAGCTCAAGCTCGTCCATACGATCCACCGCAATGACTGCTCGGCAGAGTGGGGGGCGTTGCTCGCGACTGCACTTTGCGCCACAGTCATCGTCGATGTCTTCCGGAAATACCGCGGCGGCACCCGTGATGTACGCCCGTAGCCGCTCCACCGTCATTGTCTTGAAGGCGCCGCCGTAGTCGTCCTCGCCGTCGCAGTGCAGCACACGAACACCACTGCGAGCGAGCGCTGCTGACACCATCGACTGCACCATCCCCGTCCCTTGGATGACAACGTCAAACGCGTCGTTTCCGAGCGCAAGCGCAGTCCCCGCGTCATCGAAGCGGTGCACAATTTTATATGCCTTGACTGGCTGCCGAATTTCCACCGGACCGCGGTCGTCGGGGAACATCATGGGGTAACTCTCCTCGTCCACCTGCTCACAGCGCAGTCCACGTGCTACGCACTTGTCAAAAAACTCCAGGTCCTCCACCTGCTTGTGCGCGCGGTGGTGGGAGAAGACGCAGTAGGCGGCGGCGTGTTGGCTGCGCTGCAGTAAACGTACAAGCGTGTCCGCCAGGTCATCGTTGCAGATGTGGTTAAAGAGAATATCAGAGAGCAGCACAATTTCAAAGCCGCCCCCACCTGTGTACGACAGCGCCTTGCGAGTCTGTTCCTCCTTGCCCCAGAGCAGAGGCTCCACCACGCAACGCGTGTTTAGCGCCTGCTGACGCTCCGTCTCGGATAACGACTTCTCCCCACTTGTGCCGGGCGCTCGGACGAGTTTTAGCCGCTCCGCCTCTTGTAAGAGAAACGCCGCGGCATCGACGTCAAGCATGTCCGGGGTGCAGTTTGCCTGCACGTTCATCTCGAGTATCTCCAAGATGTCCGGGTCTGGGTAGTCGGTCACCACCACGCACCGGGCGCCGTTTCGGAACGCGGCGAGCGACGGAACACCCAGGCCGGCGCCGAGCTCCAGCACCGTCTTCCCGCGCACGTCAATCATGCGGCTGTCCATCCGCTTCACCAGGTACTTCGCGGCATTCCACAGCCTGTGGCCCCACAAGCTGTGCCGTTTGTGACGGATGTACACCCGCAGCGGTGCAAGACACCGCCGCCCCGCAGGCGCCTCACGATCAAAGCACTCAACACGCGTCGTGAAACCCGTGTTTGTTGTGCCTTCGCGACTCAACTGCACGCGGTCCACGACGACCTCTTCGATGGGGCACACCACCTCCGTTGCCTGGTCGTCCGCGGCAAACAAATCGCCCAGTCCCTGCTCATCGTCGGACGACATTTCTTTTCCTTCCTTCACTCTTGTCCCTCCCCCTCCACACACACCTTTCCGGCTTTGCTGCCCCTGTGCGGCGAGGAGCACGAGGGGATGAGAGAGAGAGAGAGAGTGAAGGATAAAACACAGGGCCAAAAAAGAAAAGGGGACTGGACTACAGATGAAAGGCACGGCGACCACCAGCACCGCTGCAGAAGGAGGAGTGCATGCAGACAAAGGCAAAAAAAAAAAGGAAATATACACATAAGCAAAAAAAAAAAAACAATCGCAACTGCACGCCGTGGATCGCGCCCTCCTCCTCCTTCTGGTGTCAGAGGCCCAGCAGGAGGGCCTCAAGGAGGACGATACCACCAAGCGCCGCGCACTCGCGCCGCAGCAGATGTGCATCTAGACGCACAGAGTACATGACAGGGCGTGTCGCATGGAGGTGCTCTCTGCGGCTGTAGACGTGCTCAAGAAACGCCACTGCCTCGAGACGCAGCCGTTGATGCGCCCCTGCCAAGGATAATTGAAAACCATTTTTAGTGCTCCATGTCTCTAGCGTCGGCAGCAGCTGCTGCCGCCACCCCAGCCGCCGTTCCGCGTCTCCCACTGCGCCGTCTACAAGAATGCGTGAACGCCCCAAAGCGCCCAGCTCTGAATCTTCATCGTTTTCTGTATCCCCACCACCATTAACATCTTCGTGTTGTCGAATTTTTTTAACTTCGCGGTTGTGTCTGTCATGCAGGATTTCACGGTATCGCTTTTCATCCCGTACCGAGGTCCACCAGTTCGGTGGGTGCCGTGGGGCACACAAAGGGCACCGCGAAAGATGGACCTCGCGCACCAGCTTCAGCACCGCCGCGAACACGCCCAGCGCACTCTCCGCCTCCTCTCCGTGACACCACGGGGATGCATGTCGCTGCAGGAAGGCCAATAGCTTGTACCCACCACCGCCCCCCTCCCCTGCCGCCGCTGCTGGATCACAGTCTCCCCCATCGGCACTGCCACGGCGCTCTGAGGGCTCAGTCGTCAGGAACAACTTTGGTGCCACACGCCAGGCAACGCACGCGGTGGAGACAATCGGAGAGTGCAACGCCGTCTCCTCCCCCTCTTGAGCATCCATCAGACCACACGGCGATGTGACGACCGCTCCGGCAGGAATACCAACACTCCCACCCTCACACATCCCCTCCGCCGCGGGGTAGGTGGAGCTGGAGGACGTTTCTGCCTGCCTCTGCGAGGGAGGGTGGCGTGAGTTGCGTTGGTGGGCAAGAAGCGACCATGGTTGCGGCACCCGCGCGGAGACTGCTGAGGCACCACCCAAAACGGTCGAGGAGGAGACCAAAAAGGACGATGACGCTACTACGACGTCCATGCGGCTCTCTCCGTGCGGGGGCTGGAGGGAATTGTGGTGTTTGAGCCTCACGCCCTCCAGCTCACTCCCTCTGCTTTGTTGTTGTTGTTTGTATCTTTCCCTGCCCCGCCGCAGCTGCAGCCACACACAAACAACAACAACAAAGACCAAAGAAAACCAAGAAGAAGAATATAATAATAAAAGGAAGTGAGACAAAGCAGGGCTAAGATATAACAGGGGCCAAAAGAACACTGCCCCTCCTTTTCCTTCTCTCTCTCTCTCTCCAACCCACCCTGTAATCAAATATGCACGCATGTATATGTATACACAGAGTACGGAAAGCTGCATCACCACAGCGTGAGGCAAGAAAGAGGATGGAAAAGAGCACAGTCACAAATAGAACGTGCCCGGTGTCCTTCCCATTCTTCACCTTCCGACTGCAGGAAGCCAAACGACAACGCCTCGCGTGCTACATAATGACACGGTTGCCGTTGGGCTTCCGCGATGGCGGCGAGGCTCCGTATGCCAATGAGGCGAGAGTTGCACTGTTCGTGGCGAGTATGTGAAAGTCGTCTGTGAGGCCAATCTTTTCTTCTTTTCGACAGGCAGGCGGAGTACTGAAGAGTGGCGTGGGGGATGACACGGATGATGTAATCGCCTGCAGTTTCTCCTTCCACCATCGCACCTTATCCATCGGCTCCGTCCCCTGCGGGGGCTGCCGCAGCGATCCAGCCTCTTGCTGGTTCACACTAGACGCCACCATCTCTGTTTCTTCGCATTGCTCCTTCCACTGCCGCAGCGGCGAGGGCGCGGACACGTTGGTGCAAAGCCCAGCAGCAGCAGTGCTGTTGCCATCACGTTTCGAACGATCTATTTGTACACGCAATTGTCGCTTTTCCCGCTCCCCTGACTCCACCACCTCACTTAGGGCGTCTTTCTCCTTCTGCGCCTGTGCCAGTTGCCGTTGCAGTTCCTCGATGCACTTGCGCAGGTATCGGCAGTCAACATCACTCTGCTTCATCGCTTCCTTCAGCACTTGCATGTTGCGTTCAAGTTCATGCAGTTCACACCTTGCTGCGTCACGGTCCTCCTGCACAGTCTTGGCCTCCTGCCTGCTTCGCTGCAACTCCTCACGTATGGAGTAGCATTCCGTCTGCTCGCGCCGCATCGTATCTTGCAGCGTCCGTAGCTTTTGCTCAGCGGCGGCAACGGCATCATCGCGCTCCCGAAGGGACGCTCGCTGCGCCTGGAGCGCCTCCTCCAAGGCGGTGTTCTCGCGGAGCAGTTTTTCCATGCGGGAGGTACGCTCCTCTGCAAGCGCCGCGGCCTCCGCCATGATGTCGGACGTTTCGTCTAGTGACGCCTGCAGATGGTCCGCCCGCTCCTTCTCGACACGGAGGTCATGCTGCGCGTGTGCAAGCTGTTGCGCTAGCGCCGCGGCCATGGCACGCTCCTCACCGCACATCGCCTGAAGCTCCGCCACCTCCGCTGCCACACTACGACCCGCGCGGCACAACTCTGCGTAGGCACGGCCTGCAACAAGCACATCGCCTTTAGACTCACGCAGCGCCATTTGCATGCCACGCAGCACCCGAGCAATCACACGGGCAGTGCCCTCCCAAACAATGGCACTGTCTTTGTTCTTACCCTCGCTTTCTCCATGCTGCCGCGGCGCGCGAGATGTGTGTAAGAGGCGCTCAAGTTCCGCCCCTGTGGGTTTACACGACATAAAGGTGACGCGCTCCTGCGGAGGGCCCTTCTTACCTTCCATCTTCACCGCAACGGTCTCGGTCTCGGTCTCGGTTCCGGTTCCGCCGCAGCCACCACTACTCCTACCGATAATGCTACTTTGCCTCTGGCAGGCACGCTGCTGCTCCTCCTTGATGACATCAATGAATTCGTCGCACTCACGACTCATCGTGTCACAGCTGTCGGCACACTCAAGCGTTGCAGTCACCAGCTCCGTCCATAACTCCTGGACTTCTTTTTTTTTGCGAGCTGTCTCCTCAGATGTTATCAATTTACTTTCCTCCTCTCTCGCATCGTGTTTCCGAGCCAACTCCTTTGTTGCAGCGTCAAGCTGCTGTTGCAGCCGCTCAATCCCCAGCTGATACTCCACGGCCTCATCGGAGAGTGTCTTGATATACGTGTCGGCCTTGACCAGCTTCTCCATCACGACCGCCAGCTCCCCAGCAGCTTCCGCCTCGCGACTTTGACTTGCCTGCAGCTCCTCCTGCAGCTGCTGATGCTGCGCTTCTCGTACGGCTACTCGTGCCGAGTGATTTGCTGCCGCCTCCTCACGAAGAAGCTGCATTTCATGGTGGCTCTGCCGCACCTCCTCGGAGAGGCCTTTCTGCCTTTCTAACAAGTCACGGATGATGTGCTCAAGTTGCTGCCGCACCGTGGCGTGCTCAGACTTGACGCGGTGAAGCTCTTGCTCACGGCGGTTGGCGTCCCGCGCGCTCAACGCGGCTTTCTCCCTCAAGCGTTGCAGCTCCACCATAGAGGCGGAGAGGCGACGGTGCTCGTCCAGGTTTGTCATGTCATCAACATCATACACCCCCCCCCGCTGCCGCGTCGAGGTCCCAGCTGCGGCTCCACCCGACGTCCCACCGCTGCTGCTCGAACGCCGGTGGTCAGTGAGACTAGAGCGTATGCGGCGTACACCTACTAATCGCATTCCTTCTCTTTTTCTGCCGCCGCTGGTTCCCTTCGTCGCCTAGCGATACACGGGAAAAAAAAGAAAAAGACGTTGGGATGATGCCCTACCTGACACCTTTTCCTTCTCCCCCCCCCCCCGCCCGCCCGCTCCTCGCAGTGTTTCTCCCTTCCCTGCAGCAAACTCGTGGACTTTTCACACTCACAGAAGCGGGCGTGTATGACGCCAAGCAACCTCGTTAGTTACACGAGAATGAAACCTCTCTAGTGTGGCCATCCACAGGCAGACGCCCACGTCGAAATAAGACAGTGAACAAACTTTCCACGGATTTTCAAGAGACACGAAACCCAACACCACGTTTTTTTTCCTTCTTGTCTTGTTGCCCCACGCACCGCACCCTTTCTTTTTCCCCCTTCCATGTTGTCGCTACTTCGATTTACACGTGACATTGCCGCCACATCCTTTGGTGTAGTAAAGGTACACTGAACACATGACAAAGACGCCTGCCGTGAAGTCTTGCCACGTGAGTGGTTCCCCAAGTACGGCAGCTGCCACAACGGGTGTGAGAATCACCTCCACGGAGGCGGCGAAGGCCTTTACAATGACGTTGATAAATTTAAGCATGAATGCCGCAGTGAGGCCGTTTATGGTTCCCAGCAAAATAATGGGAATTAAGATAACGTGTGAGTTGCAAAAAATACTTTCGTGAAGGTACTTCTGCGGAGCTACAAGGAGACCAAGCATTAGGTTAAATAAAATGCCATACAAATACATAAAAAAGTTCTGTAGATGGATGCTGGTGCCGGCCTCACGTTTGAAGGCCACCTCATTGTACACGCCGGCGAGGGAAGAAAGAAACGCCTGCAGCTGGATCGCCAGGAGGCGCACCCCCACCGCCTGCATCACGGTGGGGGAGACATACTTGATGAAGAGGCCGACGGTCAAGATCCCAAGCGCTCCCCACTGCCGCATGGAGAGGGACCGGTGGAGCAGAAACACAAAAAGGAACCCGGTGAAAAGGATGCGGGTCTGCATAAACAGCTGCACCGTGCCGGGGTCAAACAGGCGGAGATTCACGTAGGTGAGGTTGTTGTACAGCGCGTAGAGGAAGGCGGGGGTGATGTACAACCAGCTCATTCGCCACAGATGCCAGCGTTGCGGCCCAACTGTCACACTAAACGGCACGAATTCACCACTCGACAGGTACCGCAGCGTCACAGACACGAGCATCTTTGCCACCTCAATTGACATCACAATCGCCGCGTTGTTGTACGTGGCCTCCCCCCGCTTCTCCAGCACTCTGATGTACCGTATCGCGAGGAAGGACATGATGCTGCTGCCAATGTACACGCCGGACAAAGCTAAACTCGGCCACAGACCCAACTGCGGGGGTTCAACAGGCATCAGCTGCGCCGCCTCATTCGCATCCGCCTCACTGCAGGACACTTCCACCACGGCCTCACACCCCATCTGACTCTGGCGGCAGCTCCGACAGTGAGCAACAGCAATAGTAAAAAGAAGAAACAGACCATGACACACAGACGTAGATCCAGCAATACGAACAGGGCAAAAAAACAAGAATAGTGAGAGAAATGCCCCCTCCCCTCCCCCTCCCCCCCCCCCACCACGTACAACTGTAAACAAACAAGAACAAAAACGCAGAGGTGTGACGACAAAGAGGATAACCGCGCAGATAGCGGAAAGAAGCAAGAATATACAGGTGGTAGCTGTGCGAGGGCGGGACCCAGAGCCCCTGCAGGAGATTGCCAAAGAACGGAGAGTTAACGCCCCGCAACATCAATGACCACACACACAGACAGACAGACAGACAGAGACCCATATCAGCCGACTGTGAATAAATATGTGCGTTATCTTGTCTCCCTCTCGTTCCGTCCTTTTTTTGGTCACCGCTCTTCCGTCATGGGGCGGAGCACCACAAGCCAACGTCCTGCATCCTCCGTTGACGTGGCCGTCGCGTCAGCCAGGGCGGGGGGCGGCACTAACTGCACGACGGCTTCCGCTGTTATTACTGATCTTAAATAGTGCAGCATCATCTTGTTTGCAGCGGCAGCCCCGTACTCATGTTCCCACAGACACAACTGACAGAGCCGCTGCACAGGGATGACGGCGATGGCACCGCTAGGCCTGGTCGCTGTGGTGTACTGCCCCTCGAGAGCCCACCACGCACGAATTACACGGCACACACGACGCTCAAAGACGTACGGCAAAAGAGAGAACACCACCACGTCATTATCTGACCCTGCTGCTACCGCCTCAAAACTCTCCAACACTTCAGACGGGGTCTGCGTCGTAACCTCCAGTGGCGTCATCGCCTCCGGCTGCAGGAAGAGGCAACGGCACACATCCGTTATCTTCGGGTTAACGAGGGAGCCGCTGCCGTTCCGCAGCCACAAGGCACACTGCTCGCTGGATATCAATCCAACCTCCAATGACTTGCCTCCTGACGTTCTTTTCGTATCGTTGCCGCCAGGTGCAGCTGTCAGCTCCGTCGTGTCTGGCGTCTTTTCCTTGTACTCACGCGAGGCGTAACGACCCACCAGCGGGTGACGCTTGTCCGGGTGCCAGTGGCGACCCTGATCTTCCAGCAGGCGGGATCGCAACACATTTGTCCATCGCTTATTGGCCTCGCGGCGACGTTTCAGCTGCCGCTCCATTTGTGCCACAGCGGGGTTGCCCACGTAGAGGAGGAGAAAGTGAAGCAGGGAGCGATAGTGCGACGCAAATGGGAGACTTGCCCACTGCATCAACGCTGACAGACGACCCAGCGGGATGGGGGCACCAAGCACAAAAACGAAGAAGTACCCCAACTGGTCATTCACCTGTTGCAACAGCAGCGGCTGAGACTGCGTGAGTTGCGGAGCATGCACCAGGATGTCGCCCAGATAACCCTCCTTCGCCTCAGAACACCAGCGCCGGAAAACGTCGCTTCCCTCCAAAGTTTCCCGCAGCTCCAGCGAGGAGGACACGGATCGCGCGCTTGAGATGTCCCACCCACCGCCCGTTGTGACCTCTTGAAGCAGCAGCGGTGGTAGCTCACGCTCATCAAACGCAGCCACCCAATGTTGCATGAGACGTTTTGAAACGGACGCACCGTCATGCGTGTTGAGGCCATCGGTTGCTGCATTCCCATCGTCGGCTTCTGTGAAGGCATCCAGCATGAACCACAGGCTAAGCATGTAGGTCCACCGGGTCAGCTCACCCGCAACTGCGCTGATTGCAGCCCTACAGCCATGTTCGCCTCCACGGCTGCAGGGCCTCGCCTCATCTGCTCGCACAATTTGACGCCCCACCTGCAACCACGTATCATCCTGCTCCACGTTGGTTGAAGCGAGAAACAACGACGGCAAGTTTGGATAGCACACATATCCAGCTGGAGAGATGCGAAATTGTGAGTCGATGGCCAGTAGTAAACGCACGGTTGCCTCAACAGGGCAGGATGAAGCTGCATCGTGGATGGATGACGTGTCACCAGACTCCTTGGACGCAGAGCTGAGAAAACTCAGTAGATACGCAATGGGGCTCTGAGTTCCGGCCTCACCGTACACTTCCACGTCACTCTCCCTCACACTCGCCGCCACTCGTGTCGCTGAACCTTTGTTGCTCCAAGCCTCTTGTGGTAAAGTTGACTTCGTTGGCACCGTCGTCGTTGCCTGATGGTGATGGTACTCGCGCTTGACTATGTCCACAAACTCATGTGACTTGAGCGGCTTTGATGATAGTAGTATACTCCGCACCATGGTTTCGCGTATGCAACGCAGCGACTCAAGGGGCAGCATGGTTCGTGCTGCTGCTGCTGCTGCTGCTACGGTAGCGGCGTTGGTGCCGTTAGTGGTCCCCATAATGCCTAACCATATGCATGTGCGCCGCATTGACCTATTGTAATTAATGCAGAGAGAGAGAGAGAGAGAGAGAGAGCAAATCAACAGAAAGAACAAGGAATAAATATAAATCACTGTGCGGACGCGTCTGTAGCATCGCCGCTTCAGCAGATATACACACGCGCGTGGGCAAGACGGGAAGAAGAGAAATGCAAGCCGCACCACATGGTGCGGCGGACACCTAACACTCCTTTTCACATCATAATGTGGCGGCTAACGTGGTCGTTCAGCGGTGCTTCCGGACAACCGCCAGGCGCCTCATTTCACGCTCCACAGCCCCAGCAACACCTCTGAAGATGTGCTTCTCCTCCTCAGTTTCACTCTTCTCGTCGGGTCCCTCCACCTCCGTCGGTGATGTGGCTCTCCCAAGTCCTGGAGGTCCCTCAGCGCGGCACGGCGGAAGCCTCTCAAGAATTCGCCGTAGTGCCTGCATCACCTCCTCGTTTTCGACAGCGGTGTCCTCTTCTTCCTCTTCCTCTTCCTCGTCATCGTTGTTCTCGTTGCTGCTACCACTACTCCTGCCATCGTCGCCAACGGAGGTGCCACTTGCAGAGCCATCATCATCTTCACCTTCTTCTTCCTCGCCCGCCACCTCCAGTTGCTCCTGTCGTGCATTGTCATGGTGCTGCAGCAGTCTAAGCAGCTCGGTTGCCGGCCCTGCCCGATCCCCCCACCGCCGCTTCATCTCGCCTGCCACTGCCGCTGCCTGGGCCGTCTGTCGCTGCTGCAGCATGTGTAGGAGTGGCACCGCCATTGCGATGTAGTTTTGCACTGTGTCGGCGTCGGCAGCATCGGCAGCATCGGCGAGGGGAGCGGGGGGCGCAGGGCCGACCTGCGACGCGGAGCCGCGCGGCACCATTTCAGCTCCCGCAGGGGATGACGTCCTGCTGGCGAGGCGACCCAACAGGTGCGGCACGAAACACTAACAACAACCCTCCACAAATCCAACAGCGAACAAACAAAATCCACTCAAAAAAAACACACGTAATAATAAATAATAACACTAAACAAAGGTGAGGTACGAAAAAAGAAACCTCAATAACATTTAGACCTCAAGGGCCGCCACACAGCACAGCCCGCCCGCCAGGCACCATCACGGCTGCAAGTAGATATCGTCCTTTTGGTGGTACATCAGCGAGACCATCAGTTGGAAGCACCACGAAACATTAAAGCAATAACGGTGCCTCAACAATGCACAACAGTAACGTAGACGTATATATGGATAGGTATGTGTATGTGTATGTGTGTTTGCTCGCGCATTCACAACACCCACATCAACGCAGTGGTGCGGAAGAAATACACAAACAAAGTTGAAGCAAAGGCACAGAGGCAAAGCAACACGGTGCCCCATATCCTTTTCGCGGAGACACACACACACACTAAGATAGAGAGAGAGAGAGAGACCATAAGTACAGGATCATATTATCCAAAGCAAAAAACCAAAAAAAAAAAAAGTAAATAGAAACACTCTGGAAACTAGTAGCAAAATGCGCAAAACACCACCTAAGAAATCCTCCTGTCGCCATCCTTGCAACTGCAACGACAACCAGCTGCAGGTGGCCCCGTTCTACGCCCTCCCTCGCCTCGGTGTCGCTCGTTCCCTCGCTTCTCCACTTACCACAAGGCAAATACGCACCCCGCCAGCATCATCAGACGGTGGCAGAATCTTTCCTCGATTGCTGCAGCGCGCCCTGACGTCCCTCAATCGTCGTTGCCAACGAAACGGTACCGGCGGAGCCCAGACAACGCTGAGCTAGCTTCCACCTCTTTTCCTCGGCGTCTTCCTTCCACCGATGCTCTTGCTGCACCCACTCCACCGAGTCTGGCGCCTCGGTGAGCTCCAACGTGCCCGGTTTCAGGTAGAAGATGGTACTCTAGTGACAGTACGCAGTCACTCGAAGTGAGACTGTCATTGCTCCACTGGATGGGTAACGTCATTTCCTTACTGAGCCTTGGGGTATCGATGGCGTCAGAGACGACGACATGCTGTGACGCGTGGGCCCCCCACGTCCTCCTCCAGCGCATATTTATCCTTCAGCATGAGAAGCGCGAGCTGGGCGACGGGGTGCAGCAAGACACCCGTGTTCATGAATGAGCTTAGGCTGTTCAAATCCCACTCGTTGCCAACTCTTACAAGCACGACAAGCGAGGCGGCGGAGCCAACGCAGTCGCACACAAGGTCGGGTTCACCCACTTAAGGTTATACGCAAAGTCCCGCCGGCCGGTTTAGATGGTGTCACCACACAACACCTTCGTCCCTGTGGAAACCACTGCCGGGGGTACGAGCCCCACCAGCATGGTGGAAAAGTAGAGGACGTACGGGCCTGCAACACAGAAGCACCAAAAAGAGAGAGTGCAGCGTCCACCATGCCGCTAAACGCGCCAAGCCTAATACGCGTCTGCCGTGGCATCTTACCTGCAAAGCTGGTAACGAGCGCGCCTGTCATCTGCGCCACCCACACCAGAGACGGTTGATGAAGATCCGAACCTCCTGCGAGTACCACAGTGGAAAGCACGCACCGCCAATAACACAGAAAACCAACACGCATCAAACGATGGGATTGTGCAACGCCGCCCAGTCACCACGAAAGGTCCTTCGTCCGTGGAAATCGCCACGGACCTCTTCGCTCGTATGCCACACACGTGTACACCTCTACGGCATACTAAAAAAAGAAAAAAAAACAACACACTCCAGTGGGGCTAGCCGCAACTGGAAGCGCGCAGTGGAAACAAAAAAAAAGGAAAAAAGCGCGCACACTTCAGTGACGGGTTGCATCCGCGGTGTTTCAGCTCATCACCGTCCCCCACCCCCCACTCTGCCAAAATAGCAACACGAAAAAAAAAGAAAATACGCCTGCCTGCTTACTGTCACTAGAAAGAAAGAAACAAAAAGAACCCTGCGAGGCCTCCCACGTGCGGCATTGCCAAAAAGCCACGTTACCACCACACAGCCTCTCGAGTCCTGGGTAATCACGGCAAGCCACTCCTCCATTGCATCGGACGTGCAAAGCCAAAAAAAGTCCAACAACAAGAAGAAAGAAAACAAGAAAGGAAATGACGGTAAAGACAAAAAAAAAGGCATAACATCATTCAGAGTTATGCTCCTCGCGCTTTACCTGAGAGAGATGCCGCTCCATGCCGTGCGTCGCAATGGCAGCCGGTACAAGTATCAGTATGCCAATGTAGTGAATTATGGATGTAACGAAAAACGTGTACTGATAGCCTTTGGCGTCGGAAATGTACCCGCCAATCACCGCACTTCCCGCCCATGTGAGGGACGAGACACTCTCAAAGGCGGACCATTTGGCACGACTGGACTTTGGCACGCAGTCCATGATGAGACTGCGCGTGATGCCCATGGTGGAGTTCATGGCCGCGTTACGTGCTATAAAGAAGGTGAGGACGACGGCTAGAGGTGTCGTCTTACTAACCACGATAGCCAGCAGGGCGAGGAAGGTGGTACCTATGAGACGCACAGTAATAACAGCAGGTAGTCGTCCCACGAAGTGCTCGCCCACGTAACGCAGCACCGTGGAGCACAGCGCAGTGCTGCATGAGATAATGATGTATGAGGTCAACAACCACGTGGGGGCGATGCCGAAGGTGTTGATTAGAAAAATCGTTAGATACTGCACTGTCATGCCGGCGCCAACCGCCATCCAGAATTCCGTGAAACACAGCACGTACGGCAAAGCAGTCAAAACCCAAATACGATGACTTGAGACGTAAACACCACCAAAGCGTCTCGCATCCAAGGTGTTGCCATTGCTGTTGCTGGAACCGGAAAAAACTCCATTTTCCCCACATTGTGGCTCACCTTGATTGGCCCCGGGTGACCCCGCATGGTAGCCGCCCCTGCCATGACCAGGCGAGGTTTTTCCCGAATTCACCGTTAATGAATTTATTTTGTTAAGTAGCGGTGATTCTAACGAGCTGGCCAATACCTTCACTCGTTCGTTGTTCTCTTTCACCTCCACTATCCCTTCCTGCCACTGTCTTTGCTGATCCTTCACGAGGGAGTACACGCCGACTGCGTCGTAGGTTAGGAGATCCTCGTCCCGCAGCAGGAGGAGGACAACGTGTGCCAAAGGGTGTACCGCGAGTCCAATCGTCATGACAAGCTGAATGCTTTCTATCGACCAGTTATTTCCCTTCTGCAGCAACATCAACAGCGCCACCGTGTAGCCGACGCAGTAGCACATCGTCTGTACAATCCACTTAACGTTGTAGATGAACGCCCGCTGCCCGGAGAGGACGCTGTCAGCGAAGAGCGCCTCCGTGCTTGTGGACACCATGCCTATGTACACGCCCCATAGGACCTGCGTGATGTAAATCGCGGGCAAAACCAGGAGACGCACCGCCACCAGCGTTGCAGCGACCGCCAAAATACCACAACAAAACGCGGACCTAATGCTTTCGATGCGGGGGAGTTTATCGCCCGCGTAACCCACCACTGCAGCGCCTGCAATTTGCGCCATCCCGCACGCGGCGGCAGACCACCCGACGGCGTGGTCTCCGCCGAGCCTGTGGACGAGCACGGGGAGGAGCTGCGCGCTCCACAGGCTGAAGCAGGCGTTGTCCAGGAAACAAAACAAAATAATAAGCATGACGTTGCGGTTCCGTAAAGCTCCGCCGAGACTCGGCTGGTCATCCATTTTCTTTATATATATATTTATTGGCTTCCTTCTCTTTTGCGGGTGGAAGATGGGGGAAAAGACATGAAGCGAGCAACGACAACACCATCGACTGCGACGAGGGACCCGACAGGGAGCAAACAAAACGGGCAATCAAACAACAAACACACACACACACAACAAAAAAAAAAAAAAAACGAAAAAACGAATAGTAGT